TTGAGGTTTTATTATTCTATTTCGTTTGTTCTCTTAACTCTTCATCTCCTAATCTATGTGTTTAACTATAATCTATTTATGCTTAATAAATCGAAACCAATATCATAGTTTGCTTAATCCTATATTAGAGATGAGATTATATGATGTATGCAATGCTTAATTGTATAAGGATAATCTGGGTTAATCTTCGCTTAGTTGGTTAATTTTGGGTTGGAATCAGGGTTAAAGTAATTTAATTTCGTAACCTAGGATAAGTGACACTGCATTCAAATTAGGAAATAAATTGTTTTCTCATTATTTTATTTAAATTCTATTTTCGTTAATTTACTATTTATTATTACGTAAACCCCTTTTGTTTTCAAATTTAATTACTGCACTATTTTATTTTAAAACAATTCTTGATTCTTGCAATTTTAATTAAAAGCACTTTATTTTAATTTTATAAATTTCAGTTATTTTAATTCTGCATCAATTTTTGTAATGAATACGTTCTTATAATTGTTTCATTGTGAGATTCGACACGGGTTAACTATATTGCATTAGTTTAACAACTTGTTTATTATTTTTTATCAGTATTTTGTGCAACTGAAATGTTGTTATTAGCCTTGTCCCATAGGTTGAGGGGAACTTCATTGTTAATGGAAATTTGAGACTACCACCCTAATGCTTTAAACAAAGGTCTTCAATGGAGCATGTTGCAAGGGTTTTTTGTGTCAATTATTAAATATAGAATTTAATCATTTGACAAGCTTGACTACCTTTCTCGAACTTTGTATATAAATCAATGTAATTCTTGATATCGACTCTCTCATCAGAGAACCTAACAATTTGATCGTTATAGAGCTAAATTGATTCCTCGTGTAGTTGTAGTACTTGGAAAGTCTTTCAATAAAGTATATTGACTGAGCTTCCTTGGTCGATTAAAATTTTCATAATTGTGACCTCAACTAAGATGATCATAAGGTTGTCTTGGTTAGGATCAATTATCTAGAAATAGTGGTGAATCTTCTTAGGAGTCAAAGGGGTCGTGCTGATTACCCCTCTAAGGAGTGGTTCCTAATGCTTGTCCCCTTCTTGCCCTCTTGGTTGTTGGTTCTTTCGTTGTTCCTCGTCCTTGTTGACCTTTTGACTTTCACTCCTTGATGGGTACCTCCTAACATAGTCACTTCTTTTGATGGACCTTCATAGATGCCTGACCCATATCAATTCTTTAATCTTATCCTTAAGAGCTACATATCCATCGATGACATTCTCATAATTTAAGTGATACCGATAATGTTTGTTGCATTAGGTGGCCTCAAGACCTTTTGGGGTGTTGGTATTAAATTGGTGTTTAAGGCCTCTTCCAAGATTCGTGTCCTATTGACATTAAAGGGGTATAATGAGCAAAAAGAATGCCCCTCACTTATCTTAATATGCCTGAAAATTGTGTCCTCATTTCGTTCTCCTTTTCAAACATCTTCCTTTTTGGCACCGTCACAACCCTCACTTGGTTCTTGAACTTCCTCAACTCTTTTAATTGCATAAATTCCATCGCTCGTTACCTTAACTTGTCGAGGTCTCTAGTAGGCTTCTTGCATAGGCCGTCAAGGAAAGGTCCAAGCCTCAGGGTTGTCACTAAGTAATGCAACGCCACTTATGGGTTCAAATGTCTGATGTTGATTGCCACCTTTTCAAATCTCTCCATGAATGTATGAAGGGATTCTCTTTTACCTTGCCTGGTGTTAACTAATACAATGGATGTTAGGTGATGTGGTCGACTTATAACAAATAGTGTCGAACTTATAAATGACTCCGTCAAATTGGGAGGTGAATAAACTAACTCAATGTTACTCCCTTAACTGAGAAACACCCTATAGTAGACAATATCATCAATTGTATATATTATGAAGAGTGTTACTTAACCCCACAATGAGTATCAAAAATATTTTTGTTAGATCAGGAATTTCTCTAACAATTACTTGTAATCTTGATCCTTTTGATTGGTACAACGTTCTCTTTTCCTCTCTCTTTATGATCTTCTCAATTGATGAATAAAGAATTAGATATCTATAAAAATATTTTAACACTCAATTAGACAAAAAAAAAAATAAAAAATCTATGATACACTAATTATATAAAAGTGTGAATAGACCTTAAGCAGATCTAATACGCCTTTTTTTTTTATCTTTATAATTCGATAATTTTGTTATTTGGTTTAGAAATACTCGTAGTATGAAGTGTATGGTGAACCCTTCTCGGCACAATTACTAATGCAGAAAAAATATTATGCTATTTTAGAATTGGAAAATACACTCTACAAAGGACATATCGCACACTTAAGAACGCAAGAAACCTACATTACGAATGAATTTAACTCGCAATTATCAGAATTCACCTTTTTTAATAATCTAACTCACAAATCTCATATAGTATAAAATAGTTATTCACAAATTTCTAAAAGTAACGAAATATCTATTCTCTTTTTTTAGAAATCAATGTTATACATTTTTAATTTAATTCCTAGCCAAATTTAATACTTAATTCATAATTAATTTATTGAAAAACATTTAATTCAAATAGATTGGAAGTAAAATTAATATTATAATACGGGATGGAGAATACAAAAGACAAAAATTAATATTATGAAATTACATTAACAAATTAAAAATTACATTAATGAAGGACTGAATATATATGTTATTTTTGAGTAATTTAATTTTTATTAGTGACCTAAATAGAAAATATAACTGTATTTTTATTGTTTCTGGATAAATTTAAAATGTAAAACTGAGTCAATAAAAAAATGTATCTTATATAAAATTATTAATAACATAAAAATATATTTATTATACTACCTAATGATTTTAAAATCAGACCCACTTGAGAAAATATGAGTTTAAGTTTAAAAGTTCAACCTAAATTTAATTAGAATCTAATCAAATTTAAGAAAATAATATTTTTATAATATAATAAATATATAATAAATTTATTAACAATAATATTTTTTATAAAAATAATAATAAATATTATAAATATAAAAGATATTAAAAAATAGATAATTATTAAAATAAATAAAAAATATGTTATATATCTTTTATAAAATAAATTATATTAAAAATATTTGATCAAAAATATTTCTTTTTACCAAAATCGATAAAAAAATTCATTGAATTTTTTCCATTTATCCCAAATTTTCTAATATTATCCGCAATTAAATTTTTAATCCCAGTTTTCATTCAATCAGTTGAAACGAACAATCCGATTATTTTCAAAACAGTGATACCATCATCTCTATCCTGTAATGGTTATAATTTCAACTTATGCATAAATTAAATTCACTGTTTATTTTTATTGTTGTTAAAAGATGTTTTTATTTAATTATTTTTGTTTAAAGAAAATAAAAAAATAAATTTTTATATAAGTGTATGAATAAAATATACTATGAATAGAAAAAATAATGTCTATGAATAAAATAAATAATATTTTATTTCTATGAACAGAAAGTAAAAATAAAAATTATTGAAAAATATATTTCTATTTCATTCTTTAAATACAATTTTGAGAACAAATTTGAAAATAGAAAAAAAAGTGTAAAACAAGAAACTGTATAAAAAGAAAATAGATAGATGTAAATAATTATTTGAGAATATTTGAAACAATTTAGAACGGGGAAGAGTGTAATTGGAATCCATAAAAAACTCAGAATGGTAAGTATGGTTTAAGAAAAGGTGAAAATGTATAAATAAAATCCCCATATGTTTCTTTTTAATTATATTCTGTTATGATAAAAAATTATATATATAATTTATATTAATTAATATTTTGTTAATTAATATATCTTATATACAGAAAAAATAATAAGTTATTACGAATATTTTGAAAGAGGGAAAATATTAAAATGATAAAAGTATTATTAAAAAACCTAATAAATATATTAAAATATTAAAAATTAACGTTTTTATTAATTTGTATAACTAAATTTTAAACTATATATATATATATATATATATATATATATATGTATGTATATATATATATTAAAAAAATAAGAAGAAGTAATATTCTTTAAATTATTCTATAAGTAAAAATTTTAACGTAAAAACTATTTCTGTTAATTGAAAAAATGATATAAAAACTCATTATTAATTTTTATTCTTTTTAGAAAACAATGAATATATATATATATATATATATATATATATATATATATATATATATATATTATTTTTATTTTCAATGTTTACTTTCCTTGTGAATCCGAAGACGCCATAAAGTAAATTCAATTTTACCAGAGATTGGAATTGAAATTGAAATTTTAATAAACACGTAGTTATTACGTCGTTGTCACCACTTGCGGGGCAAATTTTGTGACTCAAGATCCATCGTTCTCGTTATTAAACTAAATATATTATGTTATATTTAATTTGTTTCGATACAGATTATTAAAGCTTAGAAAAATCATAATAATTGAAAATGATTACTATGATTTGTCGAGTTTCGCCGTCTCTTCCTTTTTCTCTCTCACACCCTTTCTGACTCTGTTAATCAATCCTTCCCCGTTAAGATTCTTCTCCCACTTTCCTTTCCACCGTCGTTCTTATTATCCCCTCTTTCCCCTTCACTCTTCTCTATCTCAACCTCAACAAGGTACTATTTCTATTTCCTTCTAACGTTCTATTTTCTTATTTTATTTTTATTTATCATTATTTGATAAAATTTCGTATCAGCAACTAATTTCGGCTATTTATAACCCTATTTGTTTAATTTCGCAACCTGTATTTTTCGTTTTTTGGGTTTCTACATATATGCACTATTTCGTTCCAGCTACGACCCTGCGTGTCAAATTTTCTCCTTTAAATTTTCTTGGAATCGAACGGAACAGTAATCGTTTTCTCTTTCTTTTTCCGTGAAATTCCGACAGGTTCGAAGCCTTTTCCGATTCCGTCGCGAATTTCCGATTCTCGAAGAAGAAAGAGAAAATAAAAAACCTAAATAGACAGATCCGAACTCTCCGAACCATGGCGGAAGAACACCGATGCGAGACTCCGGAAGGTCACCGTCTCTGCGCCAACAACTGCGGCTTCTTCGGTAGCTCTGCCACCATGAACCTCTGCTCCAAATGCTACGGCGCGATCAGTTTGAAGGAGCAGGAAGACGCGTCGACCAAATCCAAAATCGAAACCGCGCTTTCTTCCTCCGCGAAGACGCCGTTGTCCACGTCGCCTCCGGCGGTGGTTGATGTCCTTATCAAAGCTTCGTCTCAGCCTCTGCCTCAGCCTCCGGCTGAAGTCTTGGTCACGGTTCCAGTTCAGGTCGTTGTGGCATCGAGTTCTGTAGCCTTAGGTTCGGCGCAACCGAACCGGTGCGCCTCGTGTCGGAAGCGCGTGGGATTGACCGGGTTCAAGTGCAGGTGCGGAGTTACCTTTTGCGGGGCCCACAGGTATCCGGAGAAGCACGCGTGCGTGTTCGACTTTAAGACGGTGGGGCGAGAGGAGATTGCTCGGGCCAACCCCGTGATCAAAGCGGAGAAGCTGCGGAGGATATGATTCAATCTCGGCCGTCCGATGGGACCGGAGTTTGGTGATTTGTTAGCGACCGTCACGTGTAATGCGAGCGAGGGGGAGAGAGAGATGTCGTTATGTATAATGTTATGAATATGATGACGAGGATGATGATATGATCTGTCTTCTAAATTAAGATTAAACTTAAAAAGTCGGTTTGTCTCGTGTAGAAGGGATTGAAATGAATAAGTCATCTTTTTCTTTGGCTTTGTAAAAGGGAGAAAAGAAAAACAACACTGAGATTTAAAATTTGTAGGTCCACCACCGTCAGGGGTGGTTGAAATGATGTGTGATTAGAGTCTCCGGGCAGCGCAGTGCGGTGAAGAGTTTTATTGTGCTTTCGGTAATGAATGTGAAAGTGAACTTGTCCTACTCGCGTGGTGCCAATCTATTCTTTTCTCTCCAAGAATTTTTGTTTTTTCCCACTTTCAATCATTTGTATACATGATGGTCTGCTCTGTGTTGTATATATTTTCGTTCAGAACACCAGATTGGTAACTATCTCGTTAATCTTGACATAATTTCAGATAAATTTTAATTAGTAAATGGTTAAAAGTCATTTATCTTTTAAGTTTGTTTATATTTTAAATTGGTGATTGTAGTCTATTTATACTTTTAACTTTTTAATTTATTAGAGTAGTCTTTTTTTTGTCAGGGATGTAACAATTAACGTTACTGTGTTGGCATTATTATTTTGTTTTTAATATTTGTAGTTATTGAAAATATGATCTCTATTGTTAATTTTCTAATTTCAGAAGTTAAGTTCTAAATTTCTCCTCTAACTAAATAGACTTGAATATATGTATATATGTTTTAAGGAAAAATACCAAGATAAAAAAAAATAAAAGAAAATTTTATTAAATTTCATAATAGATACAAAAATACAACCAATCTTTAGAGTTAGATTTTAAAAAAAATCTCTACCAAATTTATAAAACAACCCAAAAAAAAATCTCTTCCCCTAAAACACTTTCATCAAATAGTTGATTAGAAACAGTTGAACAAAAATAATTAATAATCTCTAATTATTTTTATTAACAAGTTTTTTTTCTTAAAATAAACCAATCAATATTTTGTCTTGTTTAATTAAAAAGTATTTACAATATTATTAGGAATAGGAGGATTCCTAACATACACAAAATAGACATATTCCATTAAATGAACCCATCATGTAAAAACTCCAAAAAAAAAATATAACCAAATACACACCACATGCAAACCCCAACATGGAAATGCAAGAAACATCGTTCAAAAATTGATGAAAACTTTAAATAAAAATAGTATATTCAATATTAACTACCCGGAAAGATAGAAAAACATTATTCAAAAATATCTTTCCTTGTAGATAGTTCTCCATCAAACATTCAATCTTTCTCTTCAATGTTTTTTCATCTTCTTTAGTTTTCTTACTTTCGAAAGAAGTATTATTAACGTGTCTTTTCAACCTATCATAATTTTAATTTTTTTTAATGAAGTACGTAGACAACATGGATTTGTGTGGTTGGTTATGTAAAAATATTATGTCATTTCTATGACGTGAAAATTTGTGTTATTTTTAAATATTAATGATCAATTTAATATTATTTTATTATTGTTAATTTCACAACTTTCAATAATAACTATAACAATGATTGGAAAATCCTCATTGAATCTCTATTTACATTAATGAGTATATAAAGGTTAAAATTTGATTTGCCAACTTTAAAGAAAATTGTTCTATAACTTCTTATGATCACTCTTTATTTTGATGTGCAAAATAATCAATGTCAATAATTTTGCTTAATTATGATTTATTAACCATAATGACCATTTCTAGAAAGAGTATTTTGTTTCTATTCATTGAGCAAAATTGATCTTGTTAAGTAAATATACTTTAAATAAAAACTTTAAATATTCTTATTTTATCATTCTTATAATGTATAAATATTTACTAAAATATATAATTTAATCAATAATTTGACTAGAGATCTATATAGTTTTACTTTTCTAAAATTATGTTAAAAATAAATATTATACAATAAAATAAGTATATATTATAAATATGAGAACTTCTTCCCCATTTTGATATGGGACTTCGGATGAATGAAGCATTAAAAAGAGGACAATGTTCAAGTCTTGACTACCACAAAAAGAGAATATATCACTTTAGCAACACTTTAAACACTCAAAGAGGTCCAAGATTCAACTCTTGATTGTAACATTTGAAAGTTTTTTGGTATATAAACTTATAAATGTAATTAAAAATGAGTTAGGTGGGACTTGAAGTTAGAAACTTCGGACATTCCTTAGGTGAGTGAGTGAATGAGAGAGGAACAATCATATATATGACCCCTTATGTAGCTTTTTTTAATCATATTTTAATAAAGTCAAAATTTGTGTGTGGAACTTGCATATTTTGCTTGTATCCCAAATTGACTTATCTTCAAGTGTCTTTGGAGATTTCTTTCTACCATTCTCCTAACAAGGAACCTTTCTTAGAGTAGTTGTGCCAAGTTTCTCTAGAAACTTGGAAAAAAAAATTTGTTTACCTTGGGTGCTCAAGGTGTGAGGCTTTCGGTGTCATCTATGGTGGAAGGAGGAAGAATATTTCCATTATATATATATATATATATATATATATATATATATATATATTAATTAATTAATTAGTTATAATTGAAAATAAAGACCAAACCAAGATTTTAATGTTAACAAATATTAAATTGTGAATAATTTAATATATGTAACATAGAAAATAAACAAGAATATGAAAATAGTAAGTCCAACAAACTAACTCATGAACATGTCATCATGTGATAGCCACTAGACTAAACCAACTAATAAACATCGTCTCATGAAAAGGTCACCAACTGAGTATTAAATGGAGAATAATTATGAAAATAGATGAACAAATGAATTAGAAAAGAGGGCTAAAAAGATATATATGATGAAAAAAATAAAGAGGTTCTCATAAAAGAATTTATGCGTAACAACCAAAATAAATATTATCTTAAAATGGAAATGTACTATACACTACAACAGAAATCAAGTGAAAATTGTGACTTACCATATAAAGTGAGAAAACAAGAAATTCAAGTTATGCAAGGAATGTATTTGAGTGAGAAGTCAAATAATATCAACATTTTCCAAATGAAGATGAATAATATACAAGTATATCAAGATTTATCCAAAATATGAAGGACTTTAATGGTCATGTCTATGTAAAAAAGGGAATATGTAATATGTTATATGCATTGTAACATAAATCAAGCAAAAATCAAAGAATTATAAGGTAAGTATTTGAACTAAACAACCGAAAAACATCCAAACATTCCAAAAGTGATACCTCGTGAAAAAGATATCATATGAATATATAGAATATTAGGTTATTGAAGATATGTTTTTAGAAAATAATAAAAGCTAGGGTTTTAATAATAATATCTTGAAGACTATAAAAGGAGGATCTTAAAGACTCAAGAGAACACTTAATAATAACTACAACAAATCCTATTAAGCCTCTCATGCTATCTTCTTTGTAAGTGTTTCTTTCAAAAAGTTTAAAAGAGAAAAATTATTGTTATATTCTTTACCTATTGAAGTAAAATCTCAGTTAGTAATGTTTGTTATTTATACTCTTTGTGAGGGTTTTTCTAGTAATTATATATTTTTTTTGCTAAAATCATTCTTGTATCCAAGAGTAAAAGGGTAAATTAGGTTTGATAGTCAGGAGTGCATAGGTTTACACATCTACATTAAGATGACTTGGTGTATTCATTTATATCCAGACACAACTTGATGTACTTGGTGTAAACTTCCTTAATATTGAACAACTTAAATATTATTAAAGAAGACTATAAGTAACTCTTGATTGGGTGAATGTGTATATGTGCAATGTCTTTATCTACTATTAACTTATTTGTGTACATTTTATTTACTACTTATTTATTTTCAAAAGAATGTTTTTAAACTATTAAAAAATTACTATGAAAAATTTTATTAGCTTGAAATGGTCTCTAAGTTGTTTTATGAAAGTACAAGAACTATTGTCTAGTCTTTTAATAATATTAGGCAATACTTTCATATGATAATCTACCCATGATCAAACAACTATAGAAATTAATCGATTCTCATTTGTTAAAGGATTTTTTAAAGTTCTATTTAAACACATACTAGTATAGAAGAAGCTTTCCCCATCTGTGGTGTTGGGCTTTTTGTGTCTGACTAAACTCTAACATCAATGCGAGAGACGTAAATTTACATCAAAGTAACTAACTGACGTAAATTTACGTCGAACACTCCACAACACCGACATAATAATACATTATGGGTTGTCTTTGGAGTGACGTTGTCTTCCTCCAAATTCCTATACATCACACCTATCTTCCTCAACACCTCCTCAATCTCCATTGACACTACCTTCATCTCCACTACAACTCACACCACCAATGGTGACACCAACTATAGTACCTGTCCTAACCAGTTCAAGAAATATGCCTAAAAGGCTTAACTATACATTACCATCACCATAAGTAGTGGCTTCCTCAACACAAAATTGAACCTATCACTCTGCCTCTCCCTCTTCGTGCTCAAGTTCACCAGATCAATCATGAAACCCTCCTCAACATGATTTCGTAGAATGTGATCTTCCTAAAGCAGTTGTTGCACGTTGTTTGTGTTCAAAAATAACAACATCATCTCGAATGAGATTTCATGCGACCAAATGTCCTCCATCACATGACAGAACAAAAACAAGCCTAGCAAGAACCTTACGAAGAAACACAACACACACCTAAACGTCGCATAACTCCATTGCCCTTTTCGATCAAGTCTATTAGAAATACAAGCTGAGATCAAGAGGGGGTGAATTGATCTAATTAAGACTTTTTGCAACTTTTGATTATAGATTAATAATTTCAAAGATTTAAAGAAATCAATCTTAATTTGAACTAAATAACAATAATCTCGAATAAAAGAATGAGATGAAAGAAGAAAAAGAACACTAAGTT